CTTTTAACTCAGGGACTTGGAGAATATTAATAGAGTCCGCAGTTAGGGCTGAATTCCCATGGGGGTGTTACAGGTTTTCACAGAGCTTCTGTTGTTAAAGAATTCAGCTTTCTGCAACCTTACACTGTAATACATCATGATAGTCTCAATACTTAAAAGAAAAAAATCTGAAGAATTTAAATTATCCTTCCGCCCCGATGAGAGCAAGAGAAGTCTGAGAGTGGTCACTTGGTGCAGTTACATTGCATGGTCCCCCCCTCACATTTGCAGGGAAAATATGCTGATAGTTTTGAGAAATGACATCTCTGTGATTAGAAGCACAGGAAAACACCAACGAGGGAAGGTACCAGTAGCACAGGAGAGAGGGTCTCTCCGTGCCACAGCTGCCAAATCTGCACTAGGTTCTCCCAGCCCTGGGCTGAAGCATGCGCTCTCGGTCCCTAAAAAAAGCATCTGCGCAATTCAGTCAGCATACAGGAGGGGGTTTTGTGTTTTTTTTTTTGTTAAGTTGTTGGTATTGTTTGCTGTTTTGTTTTGGTTTTTGGTTTTGGTTTTTTTTTTTAGGGATATAATTTCCCAGGCTTGTGTTGTAATGTGATGCTGCCAGTAAAACTGATTTGAGTGGTTTGCACACACACAGTCTGGATTCATAAAGCCACAGATCTTCACCTCTCCCACTCTGAAGACGGCAGCCCAGTGTTTCTATTTCAGCTGTAGTATCTGAAGTATCAACCTCAGCCATGAGCACAGGCTCCGCAACTTCAGCAAGAACATGGCTCTGAAGGGATGAGCACACCTACTCCACACTGACAGAAACACCAGAGATTTTGGCTGGCAAATTCTCATGTGTTTGAATGGAAATTTTTCCGAGGCTTTAAGGATGCCAAATTTAGGTGGGTTTTCCTGGGACCAGCCGGAGGCACATCTAACACAAAGGAAGTTCCGTTATCAGAACTCCAAACTGAAATACTGTTTAAGTCCCTCAGGTTTTTGCAAGAAGGTTGGCTATTTTGTTATTGCTCTTTTGTTTGTTTTTAGCATTGGCAACACAATCCTTTTTCCTGTCAAATATCACTGCCAGATACAGCAGCCTGTAACTTTCTGGAGAAGAAAAAGCTAGCCTGCAAGATACAGAGAGCCCAACTGCTTCAGAGGAAATGGTCAAAAACAACTATTCTTTGGGGTAATGGAGACAAAGACAGACATTTCTGACAACATCTTCTTTCCATTTAAAGCAGAGGAAAAAAAGGTAGTCTGGCCAAAGCATTTCATTCTGGTTGAGCTCTTTGTGCCCGACTGCCTAAAGCAATCCCTTCTTTTAGAGAGAACCCATTTCAAGGCTCTGTCCTGTACAGGGGCTGGGACATGCTGCATCGAGGCTGGAAATTGCCTGGTTATGCTGAACAAACCGTGAGGGTAAAAAGGAGAGGAAATAACAAATTTCCTTACACTTTCTGATTTCTCTGGAACCTGCTGGGCTTTGAAGACCAGCACAAGGTACAGACCACCTCACTCTATACGCAGATCCAAAGGGACCATGCCTTTTCTCCTTCATCCATTTTTAAGATGCCTCTAGTTAAAACAAGTAACTTCACATTGTGTTCCACCACTGTGATTTTTAGAGATGCTGCTAAAAGTAATGGGCTGGTATTGTCTTTGCTGTCTTACTTGAGGGACACAGGGTGTAGAAGTGGCCCATTGAGCAAACTGGGAATGGCACAGTACTGCTGTTGAATTAGGCTTCCTGATGCATAAGCCCACAGCTGAAACACAATGAAATTCCTCTTGTTGCTCACCCTCTCTCCTTTTCCCTGTCACTGAGCCACCATTTCTGCTACCCAAGTGCCTTAGTTACTAAATCTCAGAGTAGCAACAACTCCTCTTTGGGAGCTGGTCCTAACTGGTACTGCTGAGGCAGTTCCCTGGAGAAGTGACATCCCTTAACGATTCTTTCCTTTCGCAACATACATCCCCTCTGCCCACACCAGCTGCACCCTTAACGCCCCCGGGAAGCTTTCCCCATTCAGGGTAAACAAGTATGGATTCACAGTCAGGCAAAACTAACACTGGAGTCAAAAGGAATTTACCTAAAAGGCGGGTTCATTAAAAGCCCAACACAGCATCAAAACCATTTCCATATTTTGACTGCTCTTCCCTGAATTTCAGTATCGTCTCTCACATGGATGTGTGCACTGGGAGTCCTGCTGTGCTCTCCATCAACCATGAACATCGCCCTTCTTCATCCTTTCCAAACACACAGAGCTTTGAGCTAATACAAGTAACAGCTCTTTTTCCCGTCTCACTCCTATTTCTCAGAAGGACTACCTCATTTTTTTTCATGAAAAATACTCTCAAGAGCACTGCTAATTCAAAGCATAATAATCACTGGCTAGGAACGAACCACATTAGCATAAAGCCATGACAGTTTCAATACAGCAAGAATAAAAGCAGACCACGATGAGAGAAGTAAACGCCAGATTTCTGCGCTCTTCTTTGCTGCTGCATCTTTTGCTCGAGTTGGCCGCGTTTCTCTGCCTTTTTGGCTCCTAATGACTATGGACTGGCTGTGGGCTGTGACACCCACTGCTGACAGCAGGCTCCGTAGGCTGGTTTCACACCCTTGCTGTTCCCAAAAAAGGTGGTACTTGAACGAACGGAAACCAACCCAGGCCTTTTTTTTTTTTTTTTTCCTTCAAAGAGGAAAGCAGTCCCAGCTTGATCAGGCTGCTGAACTGGGAGAGAGAACTGCCATGTGCATTAGTGCTTGTAGTCACAGTGCTGAGGTCTCATCTTGAGGCCGGTGCCGCAAAAGTGATATTTACAGGTCCCAGTTGCTGTTGATACTCGGTGCTTTTGGGAACTTGTTCTGATTTTTTTTTCCAGGATCTGAGAGATCTTGCCAAGACAGAGAGAGACTTACAGCAAGAGGGCAACGCACTTCCCTCCCACTTTCTTCTGTCCGAGCTGTCATCCTGGAATAGCAATGGGGAAACTAAACTTGAGAGCTTTTCACGGGCTGGTTGACTGTGAGACAACTCTCCAGATTTTGTTGTAGTCCTTCAGACATTTGAAGTTCATATAGACTGAAGGGCTTAAGATTTGTGGTTTTAGTGAGAAAAAGCACCCCAAATCAAAATATTTTGAATCCAAGTGACTTAAAAGAAATTTTACAAACATGATTGAAATATGCTACACAGACTTAAAACACTAGAAGGTCTGAAAGCTAATGTCTTCTCTTATCCCCCTTCTTTTTTTTTTTTTTAATTTTGAAGCTAACTCTGGGTTTGAGGGGGTTTTGGGTTAAAAACACTTTGAGGTTTGTGGGCTATAATGTACTGCACAGACACCAGACATGGAGAAAATCAGCAAGTCGAGGAAGAGCAGTTCGAAAAGAAGTTCCTCAAAACAGTCAATTTACCAGTTTAAGAAAAAAGAGGCCAGGCCATCTCGTACCTGTTCTGTATGTTCTTATGAGTTTCCCCACATTTTTCAGTAGGGTGTCAATTTCCAGAAGGTCCAGTAAGAGACAACATAGGCATCACCTCCTTTTCGGATTTGTGAAGTGTAGCAGGCAGATCAAAGACCCTCCCAAAGACAACATAACTTATTAAGTTTTCCTGAGAACAACAACCAGTTTTGTCATTCCCACGTCTGCCTGGGAATCACGGCGTCTGCTAATGTTGCTGATACATAATATAACCAGCTTCGATTTTAGAAAAAACCCCATTCTTACTGCATTCGAGTACACAGAGCAATTTCATTTCTGAAGGCTGAAGCCCACCCATCCCATCCATGATCTTTAATATTACCTTCCTCGCTAGTAATCACACTCGATTTTCTCTCAGACCATTTCTTAACACTCTTCATTCATAATCAGACACATGATTATCATAACAGGCAGTTTATTTCACAAAGTTAGATTTTAAGCCTTCCTAGGAAACACCAGTGGCTACATTGTGCTTTCTGCTATATTTGTGCAAATCTGTAGTAACGGGCTGAAAATGACCCTGGCCTGAACGATGCAATTGACTAAATGTGCCATTTTATTTAATGACAATAACTTTGTACAAGTAAAAAAAACCTGACAACACAATACTCCTTATTCCTGACCCACATCCAACCAGTCTTTATTCTGCAGATTACTTTCCAACAGACTCCTTTTGCAAGGTTTCTTTTGAACTCTGCACTCCGAATGTCCTTCACTTCAGACTGCACAGAACTTATTGTAGCAGCTTTGTTCAATCAAGATGTAGACACATCATGTGCCTCTTCAAAATGACAGGAAACCTGAAAGACTACTCAAATTGCTGAGCACTTACGTCTTCTCTTTACCTGCATGGGAACACTTTCAATTAAAAAAGCACCTTGTCTTTCTTTCAGGAAAATGG